GGTTGAACTTCGATTCAAAGATATCATCCAAGTGAGGTAAAAGAAGAAAGTGGGGCGACATTCACAGTGCCTATTCAAGTGACTGGCATTAACAGGTGTTGCTCATGGCCATGTCATAACTTGGAGGGATCTGCTATAGAACTCAGTGTAGCCTTTTGCCTGAGCATCTTCCAAAGTGTTGCATGAGATCAAGGTTTGTGAAAGCTGGCTTGAGTTCCAATTATTAGTTTAAAAAGTGTTGGCTTCAAGAAGGAAACAAACTAAATTCTGAAAAAGAAATTACTTGCAACTATATATTTCGCACAAGCTCATTCCAGTAAGCACACATCACTGGCAAGTGATACCTGCAGCTGTCACAACTGAAGCTCCTCTGGAGAATTCAGGGCTGCAAGGTAAACAAACAGTGAAGGAACAAGCCTGCCTTTAAAAATACTGTTTCACGGTGTTTTGACACAAGATATTTAATACAAGCTATAAGGATTGTGCTGTACTTTCATGATCAGCCATTCATTCTCTCTCCTGCAGACCCTCGTTTTAATAACCTCACCGTTTCCACATTTCATGTTCGGTAGGAATATGAACCTGGCAAAATTCCAGTCTATTCAGTGTGCAGAAGGTCCCAAGTTTAATCCACAGTGCCTCCAGTTCAGTCTATCAGAAATTCTGCAGTGCATGCACAAATAATCTGATGTGTTATTTGCTACATGATTTAGGAGAACAGAAAGCTATGTGCCTATATTTAATATGGACAGAGGTATAGCATTCCATGAATAGCTTGGTGCTAGCATTATAAATTGCTGTTTTTAATGGTCATACCAACCTTCAGTTTATTCACCCAGCCACAGGTGATAAATGGCTAGAAACAAAGAAACAAGAATTGGCCTTTAATACATTGACCTGATCTGTATATAACATCTTCTGGCAGCAAATTATGGGTTAATAAAACTACAAATAGCAGTGAAATGTATTGCAGCAACAACTCAAATGCCTCATCCATATGTTGTTCATGGGACATCTGAACCTGAAACACTGGTTGTTCATGGGTTAAATAATCTAAAATTAACCAATGGTTTGCTCTTAATTTTGTGTTGCAAACCAATGAATATTCCAAAGTGTCCAAGTTTGTATATCACATTGAGCATGTATGAATGGCGCATTCATAGGCTGTTGCTGGGAACAAGCGGCATCTCATATCCCTGCAAATCCCTGCAGTGTATGATCAGCACCATAGTGGAGAAATTCAAAAAAGCCATGAAAAACAGCACCCATTGTTCTTTCATAGGTAGATTTTTATTTTGTTTAGAACTGGGAAATGAAAACAGTACAATGGAGGATGCTTCTTAGGTCAAAACTAAATACTTTGATTGAGACAAAACTAGGTACTGTGGGTTTGATCCAGACTGCACCATACTCAGAAGACTCTCACAGTAATCAGTGGAACTTTGGCCATGACTAACTTGCCATATCGATTTAAATTGGTGTACTGAAACATAACCTAGATCCAAATTAACATGTTAGTCCAGCTATAATGGCAAGTTTTTAAAACAGAAAAAATGCAGAATAAGTATTGTAGAATGGGCATGAGCAGTGACATGCTTATAGTGCAACTCTAGATATGTCTACTAAGGAGCAAGCTTAACTGACAGGTAAGTGGATATAAAATTGCAGCCTATTTGATTAGTATTCTTTCCTGTAAAAGAGTCTAGCAGTTAAAATCTATTAAGTCAGCCTTACAACAAAACCCAGTAAGTTCTAGAGAGGTACTCCTTTTCTAGCTATTTATTTCCAGTTATTTTTAAAAGTTGAACTATGTGAGTTTATATCCACTGTTGCTTGCATTTGAAATATTTTATATACTTTTAATGTCTATTTTTGTCCCTTCTTCTCTAAACCAGAGAGGCCCCAATGTTCTAACACTTCTTGATGAGACAAGGTCTCCAAGCCCTTGATCATTTGGAATGCCATTTCTTGCTTTATATCCATTTTGAAATTGGACAACCTAAACTGTCTACAGCTGTGCTGTAAGTTCATATGAAAAAATTGATATTGTACATTTTATTTTCAATCCTTTCCTAATAACCACTAGTATTTTGCATAGAAATTTGCCTTACACTGCCACTGCATAGCAAGCTGATGTTTCACTGAACTGTCCATCTCAGCTCCACAACCTTAGTATCACTGCTAGTTCCAATGCTATCAGCATACAGAGATGCCCAAAGCCATGCTAGGTATAAAATGTTTGGTGTAAGGCACTGAATAAAGTATTGACTTAAACCAACTCTAAATGCAGTATGAGACTAACCCATTTTGCTCTTTACAATGTATGGCAATGCCCCAACTATAATTTCTTTATGCTATTAAAAACTGTTAATTACACTTTCTTGCTGTTTTGTCACTGCCATGTGTCCTTTCCACTAGAGAGATCACAAATACCTCAATAACGTATCCTAGCTAGAAACAGGCAGACTGCCTAACTGACTGACAATGAAAGCAAATTGGTGTCACTACATAAGCAGCAGTATCTAAAAAATAATTTCCCACCCCTAACTAAATATTAATAGAGAAATATCAGACACAAGGAAGAATTTAGGAGGACAAAGGAAACAGTTCAACCACACAGAAGTTAATCATGATCTTAATCTGTTGCATTGAAAAGGAAAACTGGATTTCTCCTGGAAACACAAGAAGAGAATAATTCACACTGCCATCTGTGCATTCAGCTGGTAAGTGTTATTTCATGTACAGTGAACTCTGAGAAAAGCACCGGCTCTCTGCTTTATTCATGTTACAGCTTCTATATTTTAGAATACAAAACTGAAAAACTGCATAGATTTGACCTAATGAATTCCTTATTTTCATGAAGGTTCATTGATCCAAACTCCCCAATTCAGTGTTTTTGGCTGCCACACAGTTCAATTGCTGGTGGTATCTAGGGCAACCAGAAGCAAAACCATGGCAGGGCTCGAGCAATTTTACTAGCAGTGGAAGAAGAAAAAATTCAAAAGGGACAGCTTTTCTCCCGCAAGGAACCCTTGAACTGTAGAATTTTCTCTTTAGTATCTGATCACACTCACTCCCCCTCAAATCATTTTTCTACACAGAAAACATCTTATATTTAGCATTTCTACACATTTGAGTCCCCATGTCCCTGATCAAAATCTACTGTCACAGATATTTAGGCAGGCTTCTAGCCCTATGCTCCCCACTTATGGTGTCCTAGGCATCCACAACAAAGTGAACTTTAGAAATATCTACTGCCCTGTTAGATTACTTTCCAGAATGAATGGCCAATCCTTTTAAGTTTTGCTTATGAAGCGTGATCAGTTATTCCCTAAACCTGAAGTGTCATCTCATATTTCAATTCAGAGATGTTCCCCTGACAGGGATGGCATAATTGTAATATCACAGGTCATTCATTGGATAGAAATTAGTACCACCTGACAGTGAGGAAAACATAATAAGTACATTTTTGTAAGATTTGGTTCCTATTTTTGTTAAAAATATTGGCTGCACTATAGTAAGCTGACATACAGTATCAACAAGATAATTTTCCATGAAGAAACCAACAGATAGTGTTAAATGAACTCGCTAGTGTATTTCAAAAATGCAAACTATTAACAACAGCTGATATTTGGGGATTTTGTTTTTGTTCTAGTGCTCGTGACAAAAGCAGTAAAAAAGTATTTAATGCCCATTCAGACAGGTCAATAATGCCTGGATGTTTTACCACTACACAAACAGTATGTACACACACACACACCCCAGCAACATTGGGGGAAAGAACAGTCTGCATTTTAGAAGAATCAGCAGGTTGGAATGGTAGAGTAAGGGCACAGATCTCTTTATTATATTCATTAATTGAATTATATTTGAAAATACTGCTCTGTAGGAATTTGCAGATAACTTTTCCTAGGGCTGCCAAATTTTCATAGCTGTAACCTTAACTGAAGCATGATGTATAGGCCACTTTGGATATGTTTTAAACCTACTATCAAGTACACATACCCTCAAGGCAGGTACAAATCTAAAATAAAGTAAAAGTATAAAATCAGTTTACAACAAGTTAAATCAGAAACAGCAGCTTGTTTAAAACCAAAAACAAGAAGCATCAAAGGTCTAAAAAGAGTGTCATTCTGAAGACAAAACAGTCAACACAAGGTAAGCTTCCATTTTTGTTATAACCAAAGAGGTGCTTTTCCCAGTCTCCCATCACCTAACTTTTGAATGTAGAAGCAACTACAAAAAGGCTTTGGAAGACTATATTTAATGTACAGGAAGGTGTGTGGAAGGACTGAAGTCCTTTTGCTACTGCATTTCAAGTTTTCCAGGGCTTTAAAAAGGTAAGCAGGCTTCACCTACTGCTTTCTGCAGCTCAAGTTTCTGTTAAAGGTACAAGGTCACACTAGGCCATTTTTTCTTATCAGCTGACAACTTACAGTACAGGGACAAAAGCCAAATTCCAAAGCTAGCTACTGTCAAACAGTCTCACTGAATTATCCATTTAGTCCTTACCATGCTTAGTCAGAAGTAAGTCCCATTGATTTCACTGATTTTCTTCCAAGTATACAGAGTTATGCCTGTAGCTTGAATGCATCAGTTCCCAAGAATACAGGAATAGGGTTGCAAATCCATGGTCCTAGCAGCCTCTTTTCCACGTTATTCAGCTCCAACAAGCTACTGTTTCATAGTGTAATGCCTGACTATAGGATAAAAACATCTAGGATGCCAAAATGAAAATGACATAAAAAGATGGCAAGATGTCCCACTTTTTTTACCATTAGCTAGTCATTCTGAATTATGCTGTTTATTAATTCTGTGTTCAGAAGTTGGATATTCAGTGCTGTAGCTCGAGCTATCCATTGATCATTCATATCATGGAAAAGTGTAACTCTAGCTACTAAAGCTCCAGCAGTTAAAAGCTACTTTGGATATCACACACCAAAAGCACAACCACAAAACCTGTGAAGCAAAATGGAAAGAAACCCCTTATATACTTCTAATAAAAGTAAACATGTTTATTTCTGTAAGTTACATTCTGCACATAAGATCCACTCATTCAAACAAAATCCAATTTAAACAGTCCAAAGTCATCTAAGACAGGTCCAGACTAACATTCCTACCAAGTTAGTATTCAAAGAGACAAGGACACTAATTATTTTTGAATTCTTAGACTAGAAATGGTACACTGAAATTTGTTCACACTGAAGGCAACACAAATGTTTTAAAAACAATACCTTCTCAATGCTCAACCTTCCTTGATTATCCTAAACTCTCCTGCACTCATCTCAATACCACTTCATCTGCCACACTGTGCTATATGCTGCCTTTTCTCCACCTCTGCTCGCCAAGGGCACATACGGCACCCTACAAACCCACAGTGCTTTTTAGCAACCAATAAAACCTTTCCCTGTTGGGGTTTCCCCAAATGCCTTGTATTCAGGAATGAAGTTCTGACAGATTAAAGTTACATTTTCTTCTCTTTTTTGGGAGTGGTGCACGGGAAGGTAAGGAATGATGATAGGTCATACATGCCAAATAGAACTAAGCCTGAATTTCAAAAAAAATGCTGTTGCAAAACACCAACACAAAACAGGGAGACAGGGCTCAGCACTGAAAAGCTAAGTAAGGAGACTGTCATGAGTAGCCATAGAGGCAAGATATTTTTCCACAGCTTTCCAAATCTAGCCATTGGCTGCATGTAAGCCCCTATCTGAGATCCCACCTTTAAAGATTTCCCAGTTCTAAGTCCTCCTCAATAACATTAGAGACCCATTCTGAATAGTGTCTATGGAATTTTGAGGCTGAGGCAGCACCTAAAACTGTGACAACCTATACCTGACTTCATACAGTCCCTGTAACTGCCTCGTTGTTCCACAGCAAACATTTATCAAACACTATTTGCAGCTGATGGTTCAAACTGGACTTGTTTCAGGCACACATGGTGCAAATAGTGACTCCGGACAAACAAAAGCTGCATGACAGCCAAGGCATGGTATCTCGTAAAGTCATCTGTCACCTAGCTGTACTAAAAGATTGGATTGGAAGGTCTGATGAGCGGCAAGGGAAACTTGTGTCATGCATTTTCAAATGCTAAGTAAATATGCAAAAACAAAACCCATACAGTACATTGATGGCAGGCAATTAAAGTAATAATTCTCGTAAACAATACAGGCAAAGGGTGGCAAGCAGAAGCTTAGAGTCAACTGCCAGTGTAAGTGAAACACACAGGTCAACACTTTACATTTAAAAAAGGAAAACCCCTTATAAAAAGATGTACTAAGACAGAGCCACAATAAGTTAGTGTTTCCATGAAACAGCATGCTGTTTTGTTCCCCATTATATACATTGTTACTGTCTGCTAAATCCTAAATATTTTGACAGCATAGTTGTATAACTGAGGTACATTAGTTTAGATGTGTGTGTATATATATATATTAAGCATTATAAAAAGATTATTTTCCTTCCAGTTTTTTTTCTTCTTCATCTCCCAAGAAGAACAATGGAAACATTCCTAAAAGGCAGCCAATGGTCACTCCAATAGCTTTACCCTAAAAACAAACAAACAGATGGGTTGTTCAGAATATAGTTACCAACTATGGGTCAGTCCAAATGCTGAAAATCCTATTAACTTTACTGATTTGTAACCCTCCTGACTCCTGAAGTTTGATATCTCTTGCCATCGCTATAGAATTTGCACTCCTGAGAGCATCTACTTTTTATTTTTTGGAAGAGCTTATTACCACAACCACAGGGAAGGCTAAAAATGTTTAGAGACATACAGTATGTGTTCAAGTTCTGGAGCTCAGAAGTAGCCTATGTATAAGAAGTGGTATTTCCCTTCCGCATAGCCATATTACTCCTGCTGTTGCCTTATATACTCACCAAAGCAGCATTCCTCTCAAAATGGCAGAAGAGTGAAACACTTGAATGAAGAATTGGAAACCTAACTTGTTTCCAATTATATATTTCTATACAATTTTTCAACTTGTACAGAAACCCTGCTATGGTTATTGAGCAAGTCACAAGTTAAATAAATGCCCTTATGCCACAAAGTTCTGAGAAGACTTAGTTTCTTCCAGCTGATGCTTATCAGCTCTGTTCTGAGGAGCTCTGCAGTAGTTTGTACCTGATGCACCTAGTATTAAGTTATGTTGTGTACACATTGCTATATACATGCACATACACATACTTACAAAATGTGCACTAAGACGTGTTTGCCACATGTCAGCTTGCTTGGGTGTGAGTTCAGGAATTGAGAGGCCCAGCCTGGAGGCCATAGCTTCAACATAACCTGCAAGTCTTGAAAAAAAAAAAATATACTGAGCACAATAATATAAAATATACCAGTTACAGGTTTTGATGGCTGTAGAGAAGTAATGAGTGATTAGGCTTCTGTCCCGAGAAAACCTGTATTGTCAAAATAGTGTTTTGGCAAACCAAGTCTATAAAGCTGGAAAGCTAGTATTTCAATAGCATTCATAAAACTGTTCTATATTTCCTACACTCAGCAGCAGGATCTTTTCTATACTGCTTTCTCTACACCAAGTAGCTTGGGGGAAAGACTGTTGCTAAGTAAAGTATGGAAGTGTTTTTTCCAGAAACAAAGACGCTCACTTAGGCAACTCTGCCAAAAGATCCAGACAATAACTATACCAGACTTACTGAAACAACAGTGCAATAGTCATAACAAAAATTTCAATTCTTTTTGTGAAACTCATTTGACCTTCATAGTCATGACTGGTAAAGTGATATTTAAGTTCCCAAGGCTGAAGGGTTAAATAATTAGTACTTAATGGCTTGGAAATAATCTATGTCATTAAAGACCAAACTTGCTGGGGAACATGGTTGGGAAGGTGCCATTTTACTCAAGTCCTGCTTATGGGTTCTTCATGGGCAGCTGGTTGGCCAGTATGCAAAGAGAATGCATGACTAGCTGTATTCTTGGTCCATCTTATGTAACTAAATCTCTCATTGTTCAGTAATTTGGGTGAATAGCTTTTATATATAAATAGAAGGCACTGGGGCCTCTATCCCTATCAAAAACTTAGTGCAGAAGAGGCAATTCTACAGTTATACCATGAGCGTATTGTCTACACTGGAAGGAAGGCAAATGGGAGTTTTCCTTCCTGGGCAAACTGCATGCGCACAGACATCGACCAAAGGTTCAAGAGCCTTTCTTTCTTCACTAGGGTGCTGATCGACCTCTCCTTCTCCCTCACACAATCAATAACTGCTTGAATGGTGTAAATTTTAATTTGCATGGAAGATCTCTAAGGAATTGAGACCTTCTAAGTTAATGTCCCAGTTCCTAAATTTCCCCGAGTCACTTTAAATTGGGCGGTGTTTGCAGGCTGACTTGTCCTCTGATTTAGCACCTCCCAGAGACTCCATAGCACTGACACTTCACTGAGCGTTCAAGTGAGGAATTCATGCAGGAATCATTCTGCCCTCTTGGGTATACGGTTCTGTGCTTAGTGTATCCTGGAAGACATCTCTACTTCTGTGTTCAACACCACAGAATTTCATTTTGGATTGACTGGAACATACCTAGTGGCTCTAAGAATGTAACAGTTTGAACACCAAAAGGTTGCTAGGTTTTAATCTAGTACAAGATGATTTTCATCCTTGAGCAACACGCATCACATGACAAATCTTCAGTTTGAAAACAGTCAGCTATAGACACTTGCAGGACATGGTGGCTAGTATCCAATATACTACATCACCTTCAACACTTTTTAGCAGATAAGATGGCATATAACTGTTAATTATAAATAAGCCCCAGACCTCATTATGCACTTGGAACTAACTATGTGATTCCTCAGCCTCTGGGTCATGTTTGCCACTGTTGTACTTCCTGACTGTGTCCCCAATATTCCTCTTCTCATCGATGTCTGATTGCTACCTGCTTCAAAGATGGGATACATGTGGTTACTGTGTGAAGTCCCTGATGTAATAATTTAACAGCCCCAACTTGTGGGGCACAGATCTCCCCCACAAAACCCCAACAAACCCTTACTTGAATTGGTGCACATATCTCAATATTATCACTTCCTACAACCGCTCTTCTGCAAACTTTCAAGAAAAAAAATTATTTGCAGCACCTAAATTTGGATATTTGGAGCATACCAAACGTAGGGGGTGGAAAATTTGGTATGGGGTGAAAAATTTTCTAGTGCTTAATTTTTCCTACAGAAAAAGTTTCATTTTCTTAAAGGTAAAGGTTTCCCCTTGACATTAAGTCCAGACATGTCTGACTCTAGGGGATGGAGCTCATTTCCATTTCCTAGCCGAGGGAGCCAGTATTTGTCTGCAGAAAGTCCCCGTGGTCATGTGGCTGGCCTGACTAAACACCGAAGTGCACAAGACACTGTTTACCTTCCCACCGAAGTGGCACCTTTTTACCTACATGCATTTGCATGCTTTCGAACTGCAAGGCTGACAGGAGCTGGGACGGAGCAACTCACCCCGTTGTGCAGATTCGAACTGGTGACCTTTCGATCAACCAGCACAGCAGTTTAAACCACTGCGCCACCTGCATCCCTTTCATTTTATTAGGTCAAAAAAATGAATCTGTTCCAACTATACATACAGTATTGGGCAAGCTTCATAATTGTAATTATGTTGCAATTATGTTGTAATTATGATTAATTCATAAATATTAATTATCCTTAGCAAATACGTGAGCAAATACTATATGTTACTAAAATACATACAGGCTCTGGAGTGTTATACAGTAAAAATCACACTGAAGCTGCCCCAACAACTTTAGTGGAAAAGTGAGACAGAAGAGTGGTTGTCAGTAGTTAATGTACTCTTTGGTTGCTGAAAATTAATTAGTGTGTCAACCATTTGATTCCCTTTTCCCCATTAAATTTTAATAAGGGAAATACATGCAGTTAGAATTCTTATAAAATTTAAATACAATAAAATTCTACATAATATAATATTTAGCTCTAATAATTGACTTGAATGTTTCCCCTAAAATATTTAAGGTCAAATATTTGTGGTATTCTTGAGGTAAGCTATTAACATGGGATACTTCTTTAGTTCTACTTACTGAATAAAAATGAAATGCGCATGCTAAGTTACATCTCTCTAGACAAGGGTGGACAACTTGTATTTCAGATAGTTTGGCCACATGGCTTCCATGAGCCCCAGCCAGCATACCCAATGGTGAAAGAAGACTGACGTTGTAGGGTACAACTACTGGAGAGTCACAAATTATGCATCCTTGTTCTAGCACATCAGAACATTTTTTGATACAACTTGAATTTTTTCTCATGCAAGTGAACCTATGCAATAGAACATTTTCCAGTTCAGAATTTCCAGAAAACATTACTGAAAATTTTTTAGGAAAGCCCTAAGACTTCAGGTGATTACTATGAACCCTTAAAAAACCTGATTGTCAAGTTTATCACAGAGGGCAAGCAACATCTTTAGTTTACATTCACTGTAGTCATAAGGAACTAGTCTAGAAATGTACCACTTTTACATTCTGCACAGCCCTATGAACAATGTTTGCATATGATTCATTACACAGTATTCAATTTGACCCATACTGAAATTGGCAGGCATTGCTCTCCTTAAGGTCTACATATTAATCAATGCTTAAAGCATTAAAATATTTTGTAAAACTTACCCTAATCCAGCTAAGTCCGAGACAAGATTTCCTAAAGCAGCAGCTAAATATTGGAAAATCACAAGCATTGTGTTATATGATATAATCTGCTAATGATGGAATAATACATACATGCTATAAGGCCTTTATTTCTAAAACATGAATTACTCACTACCCCAAATCTTCCGAAGTCTCCTATTCTCAGTATGCATATATCCATTTCTATAAAATAGTCAAGGCATTTGCAAATAATAAAAGATACAATAAAGAAAGGTAATAACAAAACAAAAATACTAAAACATAGTAGAAGCATAACTTGGAGCACAAGACAATCTGGATTTCTGTAACCTTCCAAATGTGGAGGACTACAAGTATCCTATCCAGGGCGGAAGAAAACCTGAGGCAAAGGTTGCCTCTGTACTCCTTTGATCTTGCAAAATGCCAATATGGTCAATTTCTGCTCTACAAGTGTCACACCGTGGAGCAAGGAAGCCAAGTCAGCCACAGAATATCTCATATTGTGCCAACACCAATCTGCCCCCTACAATCTGGAAGGCCAACTGAACCCCTTCACCAAAGGCATGTTTGAGACCTCAGAGACGCAGAGTATAGTTTAGCAGCCATATTTTGAAGTTTCCAGACTTTTTCAGGGTAGCTCTATATAGAGTGTATCATAGTTCTCAAAACTACAGGGTAAATAGAGTAAAAGGTACTAAGTACAATGTGTGGTTTTTCACAAAGTTTTGTTTAAATTAACTCCATTATTTCACTAGAAGACCATACTGCATGGCAAAGTAATGCTTTGCAAGCAGAAAGTCTCAGACTGAATGCCTGGTAATTCTAGGAGAACCACTACCAGTGAGTCCAATGGACACAATATAAAAAAGCGTCTGACATCCCTAGTTATTGGTACAATAAAACATGTGTCTGTTGCTACGTGCATGCTAGCCACAGAAAACTGCTCAGATTATTGAATATGAGAATCTGTTCCTAATATTTTGTCTTTAGGTTCATTGCCAGTTATCTTTTTGTTAAATAACAGTATATAAAAGCTATAAATATATAAATCCAACCACACTGGATTAAAAATATTCAAATGTTACTAAGCTTTTGTTTTCTAGAACATGATACACTACCACACTTTAATCTGAAAAGATGTTTTATTAAATGCAAAGATACAATAGATGTTTCTTTGTTGCTGTTCATGCTTTAATAGCAACAATCTACATGTCAAAAATGTTTTTGCTGGGCCTTTCACTTTTGAAAAAAATGAAAGAGGCAAAAAACATAACTTATGAGATAGAAAAAAACAGGCAGAGGTATGTTTTTCTCTTTTCTCTCACCCCCTCCCCTTGAGACTGTATATCACCCCACAACCTGGATGAAAAAGCATCTCTGAAAAATTGGTTCTGAGAAGAAAATGAGAAGAATACAGAAGAAAAAGGTATGCTCAGACACAACCTGCCCCAGACTGCTTTCACTTAAAAAAATATAAAGCCAAGAATAGTCATGGACTATGTTTGACATGTAACTTCAATTAACGAACTGGCTTTTTATAATATTTCTGTGTGGCACTACTAATAGCAAACATTTGCTTTCCTCAAGCATCAGGAGTGGTTTGTTATGAATTCCCTTATGCACACAAATTTAGTAATGGATTAACGAAAGCCAAAACCCACCCAGACAAAACATAGATTACTTGCCTGCCATAGTAGAAATTCCAAGCACAATTCCTATTGATAGTTCTATTTGTGTGCCCTAAAAATAAGCAAGAATATTTTAACAGAAAGCTTCATAACTAGCTATACATTGACAAAGTCACTGGTGAGACACAGAAGGTTCCTTTCCCCACAGTTGTCCTGGAAACCCCAAAGGTAGTACGAGCAGTATTAAATCTATATTACTGTATTAACATAAATAACCCAATAAAACCCAAGTTTGATATCAAGAAATTACATGACTTACCGCAGCAATCATGATTGCATTATCAAAAAATCCAAACCCTATAAAAGGTACTGCATTGTGGAAGAACACTAAAAGAAAAGGAGAGATGTGTGAGGAGAGCTTTCACATACTGGCAGTTCACGCATGCAAACCACAGATTCTTTCTCTGATTACACTATCTATGAAATTACTTGAAAAAGCCTCTATATGAACTGGTATATAGATCACAGGAATTGACATGAATTTTTAAAAATACAATTCAACATACAAATGCTTCTCTGTGTTCTATACACAAATAACTATCAACAATATGTTATACAGAAGTGGTCGCTTCAGAAGTCGAAGATCATTTAGAGGTTTCTCTGGATAATTTGATGTAAAGCAGGGCTCATGCAGAGGGAAAACTGTTCACATGTAGAGATCAAACAGAAACATCAGTGCTTGAGTGCAATGGGTCCTTCCTCTTATGGTCAAATTTTGTTTAAAATCTTACAACCCGCTGTTTACCTTACTGGCAAAGATTTTTATATAAAAAGCTACTTTATGAAATCCAATGATTTCCATAATTGATTTGTAACTTGGGAAAAAGTGGAAGAAAACAAGAGTTCTAGTTTGTCCCATGATACCCACCATGTGTAATTGCATGGCCTGTACTGGCTTCCAGAAAAATCCTATTTAGCAAGATCCTCCATACAATTAAAGCTGTAGTCATATGATCCCTTGGAGGACACTCTAATGGCATTCAGATATTGTAGACCTACCACCCCGATGAGAGCCAAAAAGATGAATTATTTTACTCTCAATTAGTGTCAATGGAAGGCAGGAAAATATAAGGCAGAACATGGGAGGACCCCTCCCCTTACCCCCAGAAAATACTGCTGGGGTGTGTGTGTGTGTGTGTGTGTGTGTGTGTGTGTGTGTGTGTGTGTAGTGTGTGTGTTTACAATTTACAATGTACACTTAGGGCATAATCCTGTTCATATTTAGACAGAAGCAAGCAATATTGGAACAAACTAAATATGAGCAGGATTACATTCTTAAGAACTTACCATGTTTCAGCTGTCCAGTAGATGGTGGTGCAACCTCCAACTTCTCTAGACAAGTTTAAAAAAAGCAAAAAAGAAAAGAATGACTGACTGAAAATGGAAGGCTAGACTTACAAGTGAAATGGTTTTCTAGTCAGTGGAAGATGGAACAGGTAGAAAAGGGTTAACTCCTACTACTATGGAAGGAAGGGCCAATTAGATCAGTCCTGTAACCAAGTGGACAGGGAGGACCCCATGTCAATCATCAGTCTTGCTTCGGCTTACAGAAGAAACCTAGAAATGCAGAAGACTGCACACTCCACAAGAAGAGATTGTGTAGTGTCCAACATCACAGCTGCAGTGTTTGTGAGCCCCAGCATGTTTCCCACATGGAAACATGTGAGTGTCACTGAAGGACAAAAGTATTGGCTCTGCCCAATTCTGAAAGAACTAGGTATGAAGAGCTACACCTGGGCACTGGTATCTCCATCTCCAGATCCCTGAAACAAGCTGAAGGAAGGGCATGTGATTGGGACGCAGTTAGATCAGGTGGGTGGTATGAGGACTGGAGTGCTCCAAAAATCAAATATGTCTACCAAAAACCAATAAGAATATGTTAAAATATTTCTTGTTCTGCTTCTTTAAACAAATAAAAACATCATTTTAAAGCAACAGGTAGAAAGCAAAGAGTATCATCCCTAAACCCATATCAGAAATCCAAACAAGATCCAAACCTGACAAAGTCACTGTTAAAGAAAAATCCTATGGAAGGCAGAGCCAAGACTGAGGTCAGTCACTGCCCTTCTAGGTGGCTATAAGTCTGATCTTATTAGCCTTGCCTTCCAACAAAACTAGGAATGAATCCTTTCTTGCCTGATTTACTTCCTTGTTAACTAAGAATTTATACACATTTGATTATTCATTATCTAACAGCACAATTTACATCTGAATAGATAGGGCATGAAATACTCATTTTCCTGCAAAAATGTCATTTTCATGCGGTGCTTTGACAAGCAGCCACACAAAAAATTGCACGTAGACAACCCACCAGAGTTTCCGGTGACAAGTTTCAATCCATGTTATGCTTCAATGGTTTTCCTAAACATGTTAGTAATAGTACTCATGCTGGTGGTACTGTTCCATCTCTTAAATACATTAACAAAACAACACAAAACAAAAACACTGACAATTGAACTCTTGCACTTGATCATTTAAGGCTAAAATTCTCCAACAAAATCATCTGTAGAACACAGAGGTCCAACCGGTAGTTGATGGGATTCACCACACTCACACATAATTCATCTTGAAAAACTCATACTTTAGTCACCTACTATAACAAGAATATTTCACAACCTTTATTAAAATTGCAAATTTTAAATTACTCCATGGTCTACAACCTACTTAGGGCACAATCCTATGCATGTTTAGTATAGTTAGTGGGAGGACTTTTTTTCTGTCTAAAGATGCACAGGACTGCACTAAGGATTACAGCCTTAAGAACCCTACCATACTAGAAGACAAAGTTGTAGACTTTCTAAAGAGACCACTTATTATGTTTACGTGATCTTGCTTAAATCCATCCTGAGCCAAGGAAGGCATAAATGTATAGGTTTAGAACTGGAGCTCTGTGTAATATTCAACACCAAAAAATAAGGTTAGACTACTTATGTGAACGAATCTGTAATATTTGTTGGTGGTATTAATTGGTTTTCTGCCAAAAATCCCAAAAATTCTTCAAGCAATGCTCACCCACTTAAATAGGGTTATAATTCTGCTTCACTGGAGTGAAATTATATCAAGACTATGGGGCTTATTAAACCCATACACTACTGCTGCACTGTGAGTAAATAAAAGATTAAATAACCAGTATAAAAAGAAAATTGCTGCTTATGAACACACATGAAGCATTTTCAAATAATCCAAAAGCAAGAACCAAGATTGCAACATTAATAGTTGCTCTTTTATTGCAACTTAGCAGTTGTTAAAGTAATACTAGTGGGTAGGAAAGAATTATGATTAGTATATGAAATTTTATGAGTGGCACAAGCAAATCAGAGCTCACACAGTACACATATTACACTCAATATCATGCAGTTGATAGAATTTTGGCTTTGACTTGAGAAGAAACTCACCAGGTACCTTAGGGCCAGTCTGCCTAAGCCTACATCAAAGCATAGGGCTGTTTTAGGGACCCCAAATATGCCTCCCTGAGCTTCATGGAGGAAGTACAGGATACAGATGTAATACAACACATTAAAGTTATTCTGCTCCAAATCACAAAGCAGATATCATGATTAGGTGGATGTGGCTGCATTTTATAAACATTATTGGTAGAAATACAACTTGCTTTAAACAGAGTAGTCTATATATACAGACTGAAGTATCATCTTACCTTAAGTTAGTTTCTGTGCGTCAGATCCATCAGTTCAGTATATACAGAACGTAGTTTCTCTCCAACCTGCCTGTCAAGGCAAAGCCAGCAAATCACTTGCCAAGGTATTATCAGGACAGTGAGAGTTTTAAATACACTTCATTGAACAAAATATATTCCTGTTTGCATTGAAGAGGAAGTCTTTATCCAAGAATCCATAGAAACAAATAGCACTATGTGGTAGAGGACATCTGGACTGGTGGATAAGATGCACAGAAACTAGATAAAATCAATTTTAATTTTTTTCAGCAACTGATTGATTGCTTAGATTTGTATACCATCCAATTGGCATGTGCCTTTAGGCTGGTTTACAATCATAAAATTGATTGAAAGGTAATATTACAAATATAGCATGAGAACTAGTTTTACCCAAAGGGCGAGAGTCGTTTCCAGGTTTTTCCACAAATCGCTCTTCTGTTAAAGCAAATAGTTTATAGTCAGTGAACATCTACTGATTCTCAAATGCCCTATTTTTCCTACTGAGAGTTTTAGAAACAAAACTAACTTTCTTTGCTTTGTATTGTACTTCATAAAGGTGTATCGACTTAACCCTCTGCTATTTTTCTGTCCCCCTCCACCAGCTGCTTTATATACGACAAATAGCAGATTAGTTATTGTCTACACGTAGAAACAAACTTGGATGTTTAGGTAGCATTTTGGGAGGATGTGCATGACCCACATTGTGGCACAGGTCTCATAATGTAGGTTGATTATCCTAAGACGCACTTCGTGCCCAACAGGAAATCAGGTACATCATTAGTTCCTGCACACTTTCTCCCCACTTGATCTTCCCCCAAGTATCATAGAGGACCCTACAGAAGCAGAGAGGTTTCCCTCCCTTCCTGCTGTACTCACAAACTGATTTAGTTTGATGAGGCTTGAATCTGAGACACAAAGCAAGAGCAAGCACATGCAAACCACTTGTCAAGAAAGCTTTTGGAATCCCAATTTATTTATGCTTGAGCACTTCCTCCAAGGGCACCATGGTACTCTGTAGAGGTTGCCTGGGGTGGTAAAGAACTTTTTAAAATATTCAGATTAATTTTTGCAAAAATTTGCAATTAAAGAAATTATTGGTGGTTGGCAGAATCCAGCAGGAACCAGCTGCATGCACTGCTCCCATAAATGTGCAAGTAAATAGACCTCTCCAACCCCATTCCTATTTGACAGTGTCAAATTAAGCTGTCAGATGCTTAAAAAATTCAGGGAGATCATTGTTTGCAAGAAGGAAATTTGAGACTCCCTTTTCCTCAGGGAATCCCCCCAATATTGCATGTTCCCAGGATGGTATCACCTTAAAAACTGTGCCAAAAGGGAGACAACACTGTGGATATATTAGCTTACACAAAATATCCTGAGCACAAAATATCCTGAGCAACCTTCATGCTAAGGCTACAAAGCTTCTTTCTGGCAGAGACAGACACTGCTGCAGTCTATGTACTGTTGCAGCCACTTGTCAGGTCAGCATTCATATTCCAAAACAAAACAACGTGAATGAGAAATTAAAATGTAGTAAGTTGAAAACAGCATGCAGTAGCAGCAGGAAGCTGGGGGAGCCTTTGCCAGGCACCCTGAGTGAGAGCTTGAGCACTACAAGGGAAGTTTAGCATCAACAGTCACGTGTAAGCGGCTTGCTAAGAGCTGCATGGGAGATTTGCCACTCTTGCCAAGCAGCTTGTTAGTGGCTGAGCTTGGCCCATGATGGATTATCTCATCTGGGTTTGTACCACATAAGAACACGTAAGCCAAAGCTAAGCCACACTGACATATATGGGGTTCCATGACATGCTTATACATCTTGACGTGTTAGCATGCCATGCAAACCCTTTATAAGCCATGGTATGTTGTTGTGTCGTGCAAGCCTAGTCTTTCCTGAAAACACCTAAAGAGAAAAAAAAGAAGCCAACCCAAAATGAATGCATTACTTTGTACTAAATGTTCATATTTTTGCTTGTGTATTTTAGTGCATGTATTATGCTTTGTTTTGCTTTAATATCTTTATTTAATTTTTGGTAGTACACTTTCCTCAATGAATTTAAGATGTTAGGGGGAAGTATCCATGTCCATACCAGCTGAATTGATGTTTTATTAATCATTATGGAGGCACCACATAAACAATTAGAATGGAATGTCAATAACCATGTCAGAATATTTCCAGTTGACATACCAGCACTATAGCCTCTTTACCCATGAATGAAATCAGAGATTATTAATTTAGAAACAATCTGTGCCAGTTTAGCTTTATACTCCAAAGAGGAAGGATGCTATAGTAACTCACTTCCAAAATCTGAAGAGGAGGGGATTAGAAAGCCACAAAGACAGATCCCTCTTTTCAGGGTCAGGGTCTGTTCATCCCTACATGCATACTCTTTCCACAGGCTATTGTGCTTCAAGGAGCAAAACTACATATTATGCTAATAACTTGTTTAAGTAGCAAGTTTAGAACACACACACCATTTAACTTCTGTCCATTCCCCTGCCATTTCCTTCTGAACACAAGACATGATGATAATTCATTGCGAAAATAGCAAAATACACAGATGACTACAATTCCCATTGCCAAGCAAGTATCACATATTATTCGGCTTGGAGCTGCAGTCACAAAAATGTGCCCTTTTTGAAAGTTGTGCAACATTCATACTCCCAAAAAGAATAAATGGAAATGACCAAAACTAAAACCAGCACAAACACAGGATTAAAATGGATTTTTTAAAGGCTAGGAAATCACAGTCTTTTCCTAGTACTGAAGTGACAATAAGGTCAGGCAAGGCTCTTTGACAAGAGCGCTCCACAACTTGGAGTGCCACCACCAAGCAGCCCTCGCTCTGGTAGCCAAATGGCAGAGGCATCTATAAGAGACTTTCCACAGACAGGCATAACTGAAGACAGCTGTTCCTTCAAGTACCCCAAACTTTAAAGTGCTCTTTCTTATTGTTTGCTGTCAGAAATGTTTCTTCTGCATGAATTAGAATGCCAGACTGAATTATTTGTGTTTTTGAACTAGCATCTACTGTGCAGTAGATAGAAATAGGTTGTTTCCCTACTTAAAATGAAAATAACCAGTTTTTCAGCTTCTCAGTTTCAGAGTTTAATACTATCCTTTCAACAATATGGTTAAGTATGAAGGTAAAAGAACAGAGTTACGACTACAAGTATGTTACAAAACAGTAAAGTGCTACTTGGATGCTGGTAAGACATACAAATAAAAATTGTTTCAGAGCTCTAAATCACAGACTACAAACTTTAGCATTTTTCCTTAAAGGAGCTAGGATTTTGGGGGGGGGGGGGGGGGAATAATTCAACACTTCAACATGCTAAGCGCAAAGAGGCAGGAAAGACTGAGAGAACTGGGGAAGATAAGTTCAAGAAGAAAGACTGAGGGGGCAATATGATAGTACTCTACAATTACCTGAAAGGCTGTCACAAAGAGGAAGGACAAGATCTTGTCCATTCCAGAGTGCAGGACATGTAATAACGGACTTAAGTTAAAGAAACCAGATTTTGACTAGACACCAGGAAGAATTCCTCACTGACAGAGCAGTACAACAATGGAACTTCTTACCTGGGAAGGTTGTAGGCTCTCCCTCACTAGGGGCATTCAAAAACATCTGGACAATCATCTCAGTGTCTCCTGCAACAGCAGGAGGTTGGACCCAATGGCCTTCTGGCCCCTTCAAACTCTACTATTATTTGATTCTATGACAGAACTATTAAAAATCCAGTAAAGAAAATAAAAGCTACATCAGCCAAGAGGGCTGGCAAGCAGATCCTAGATGAGACAGCAAGCACTTGCGTGGTCCGATCCCGCTGAAATTAGATGAATTGTCAAACATCTCAGTAGTGTTTAGCCAAATAAATGCCCACATACTGGAGAAAAGTCTACCAAATAAGCAATACCTTTTCAATTAAAACTGAGTTATTGAGGAAATGAATCAATATACGTGCAACAGGTACTTGTTAATGTATTCAGACATCAAGAACGTCATAAGAACACCGAAAATACAATCCATAACTTGGCAGAGAAACAAGGCTATATTATTTGCTAGAACACATCAACACACAAAGCGTTGCTAGAATGATGTCCTTCTCCAATGATTCTCTAAAGATCCTAATACTGCCTGCATTATTGATCTTACAACCTATTACCACCTTTATTTGCTTGTAAGCTATAGCTCTTTCTATAACCATATGTATCATTGTTTAATCTGCTTCTAGACCAAGGGTTCCTAATGCTAACAAACAGAATTATGCACTATACTGTGTTTTCTTCCTTAGCAGATTTTTCTAGTAAGAAAAAAGATGGAGACACCAGTCAGAAAACACAGGAGGACTACAGACTGTAGATGACACTGTCTGAACAAACATACATGACAGTGTGTTTGCACAAAAGAAACCTCATCTGCTTTTTCATAGTTCAGGAAGCAAATTCTGGCTTACTAACCAACAGACTAGAATAAACTAAAATTGTGATTATAATAAATTAGAGATAAAATTGGATCACTTCTCCCTATAATACATTGCCTATATTTTAAAAGATTACTAGTTCAATAAAAATATAGAGGCCAATTGCATATATCATGGCTTCACATACCATCACAAAACAATATTTCAATACAATTTAGACAACTATGTACCATTGCTTAGAGCTAGAAGTATGAGCCCTGAACATGCACACTATCCCTCCCTCGTTAAAAACAAACCAATTCTTCATTACATCCAAATGGCCTGCAATTTTGCATGGCAAACATAACAACACTTGCCATTTTCAAGATCAAGCAGGACTCATGTTTACGATCACAAACTATGCTTTAACATAGTCATCTCAGCTGAGCCCCAGAGTTAGTCAAATAATGTCAGCATTGAAGAAATTCAAAATATTTAGTTTTCCAAATTCAACCTTCTCCAGCCATTGGAGAAAACATGTTACGGTTGTATTGGAATGTGCATGATTTTTTCATAGATATAATTACCAACTCACTTGAACTGGCAGACATACTTAAGTCAACACCCAAATATCTTTTACTCGAGTGGACACTTATTTAAAATGCAACTAGATCCTGCCTAAGACTCAGCCTTTCGTATGCCTTAGTATTTCTTTGGATTTAAGATAAAGTAAGGTAACTTTTAATATCTTTGTAGGGACCAAAGAAGCTCACCTCCCCCAGAACTTGCTATGATCATGTACTTATGCAAATAGAAATGGCCATGATGATTTCTATTAGAGGAACATGCCAAGTTATTCAAACAAAGTAGAAGCTAGCAGGTTATGTAGGTATTTTTATGGAGCATATATAAGAATGCATTTTGTACCACACACGACTTCATGGTTCAAGCAGCATCTACTCAAGTCATGCATGTAGCAAAAAGAGAAGTTTACTGTACCCCAGGTACTAGCTGGCTCTGGTGGTGCTACCTGCTTCATTGGCCTCTCAAACGGTACCAGTGGTTTAGGAAATCTGGATGCTAAAAGTTTTTCAAACATAAGAAATAAGTCATACTATTTTCCCTTCCAGTACTCAGAGGACGTGAAATCCATGTATCAGGTTTTAATAATTAATTCACCCATATAAAATGCAGCACAACCCTATGTACATTCACTGAGGAACCCCCCCCACTGGGTTTAATGAGGCTCACTCCCTGAAGTATCCTTCACAATGCATTCTCAGATTATTTTTCTGCTGTGCCATTGGTATATTTCATGCGTGGGATGAGGCATGCTAATGCCCTGCCTTACTCATTGTGTCTTCTCTGCTCCCGTCCCCCTGCAAGTTTCAACAAATTATCTGCACTCTGGTTTAACCTGATTCAGCACACTGCTTCATACTATTCACACTGCATTTGTGCTATCTGTAGTCCCCACAGGGGGAATAACTTCGGATGCATGGTATTTAGAGCAGGGAAGTGATTATGCACCACTAACCCACTATGTCTCTGTTCCAAATTTCAAAGCATTAGTCTCTAATGCTTAGTTAGGTAATCACACTATCTTCATAATTGCTTTATGTTCCTATATTTTCTCCTCATACATTCTTTAAGGTATCTTGGGAGGTTAGCCAATCACATATCCAAGTAAATAAGCATTGTGTGCTGTTCATATTGTATTGTTGAAGATTTGTGGTATGTTTGATGAGTCTGTGCATCCTGAAAAGTATAATCTGGGAGAAAGGTTAATTTGGGCTAGCCTAAGTGGATGACAAGGAACCAAAGCAAAGATATTGCCCAGACAACACCAAAGCACATTTTTGTAAAATATTTTTTAAAAATATGGCCAACATATCACTTGAGATTTTGCATCTCAAAATGGTACAAATGCTTACTGAGCTACTAATACAAGACCTCAATGAATTGCCTTTCTTCTTATTGCTCCCTTGTACTTCCCCAAATCAACTGCTTTTCAGCATCTGTTCTTCAATCTTGATCTTTGCAAATTATCAGGCCAATACTTAAATGTTTTACTTGTGACTTAACCAGCATGTTAGATGGTTAACTGGTTAAAGGACATGGCAACTTTATTTTGAACAGCCTTGCATACAAGCCTACATGTAACTAGACCACAAAAGCATGTACTAACATGCTTGTCTAACAATTATTGTCTAAAATGAAGGAGACTGAAGCATGTACCTGCTTGGGTGTCATATGAAAAGGAAGACAACATTTATAAGTCTGGTTTAGGTGTTAATTCTTGTAATCTTTTGTGTTTCTTGACTGAAATTCCATTCTCCTCCCATACCCCATCCCACTTCATTTTCAGATTGTGCTTGAGCACCACCAGAGGAAAAATTAGCACATGTAAACTACCCAGGACCCTTCGACCAAGACTCCCTGGAAACCTAAAGCGTTGCCACAATTACAAGGATTACAAACAGGATTGCAAAGTGGCCACTTAATGAATTCTATTTTCCTACCTTCAGTCACTTTGAAAGAATATTAATGATTTTATAGAAACAGTTGAGTAGTTTACACAAGCTAGTTAGTTACACAAGAAGGGCTTTCTCAGCGGTGGCGCCTAAGTTATGGAATGCGCTCCCCAGAGAGGTCCGCCTGGCGCCGTCGTTATTTGTTTTTCGGCACCAGGCTAAGACCTTTTTATTTAAGCAACATTTTAAATGCTAAATACAAT